TACGATCAACAATCAAAGAGAAATTGTCTTCATTACCAGCAGCCTCAGCGTCACCAACCACTAGTGATCAAACAAAACCTATCATTATTAAACTGAATGGCATATGGGAGAAAATGACTTTAAAAAATTTAAAAAGAGTTTTTCAGTATTACTTTGGGGAAAAAATAGCAGATTATATTATTATAGGAGACATTAATGAGGGCTCAGTTGTCATTACACTGTCAATACCAACCTCACTATCACAGTCTCTTATTTCTACAATCAATGACAAAACAAAATCAATGAACAGATTAGGAATATTGGAAGTTGCTGTCGACAGAAGTTCAATTTTTATTGGAAAAGAAAACGATAACAATTTTGACGTTGCACTTCATCAATCAGTTATAGCTGGTGATATTTTTGAAGTATCAATGCTACTACAGTTAGGAGCTGACCCTAACAGTAAAGGTGAGAGGGGAAAGAGTGCTATAGAGATTGCTAATGAAAAAGGGCACACTCAAATAAAAGAAATATTATTAACTGGTAGAGGTGAGTCATGCAGTTATTACATATTAATGCACTCACATAATAACTGCTTTGATACAAGTGCCAATATGTACATATCAGTTATAATATTTATTGACGGAATATTTATTTAGTGCTCTCAGGCATAAACCTCTAATGTGTTTATAATAATAATTATAGTCAAGACATTATATTTATGTTTTTGTTGAGTGTACATACATTGACCTTTTAATTTAATAAAGCAGTTTCATGCTGCCTAGAGTACATCATGTCTATAGGTATTATCACGTACTTTAGGCCTCTATTAATTACTCTTGATGATATTCATTTTATTAATTTAGGAACACAGCTATTGAAATTATTCAAGGATGCTAATCATAAAGATGCCATTCGTTTGTTACCCTACATTGAAAACCTAAAACAGTTACGAGATGAAGTTACTATAATTTCTCTTTTTGATATTTATCAAGTGGAGGCAACTTTGCTTCATATGGCTTCATGGAATGGCTGGTTAGATGTTACTGGTGATCTCATCACTAAATATGGCTGTGATCAACAAGAAAGAGATACTAAAGGGAATACTTGTCTTCATTATGCTGCAATGGGTAATCATGTCAGTGTTATAGATTATCTCATCATAGAATATTCCAGTGATCCTACAGTTACTAATGAGAATGGAGACACTATTCTTCATAAAGCAGCTTATTATGGATCACTTGATGTCATTAAGTATCTGATCAATCATAGATGTAATCCAAAATCTACTAACCGCAAAAAAGGTGAGACTCTTCTTCACTGTGCTGTTGAACATGTTGATATTCTAAAGTATCTTATTGATGATGAGGGTAGCTGCAATCCAATGGCCACTACCTTTGATGGTAGGACACCACTTCACTATGCTGCTAATTTTGGTTGTCCTGCATCTGTTGAATTTTTGCTATCAACTGGCAAATGTGATCCTTTGGCTGAAGATAAAGATGGGAAAACACCATTACAACTAGCTAAAGAGAGGCAGCAGAGAGATGGGACTAATACTCTTCCTATCTTCAAGAAGTTTGGTGGTATAAAATTACCTCATCCAATTGATTCATATGTTAAGGTCCTCCTTGTGGGTAATCCTGGAGCTGGTAAAAGCACTCTTGCTCATGTCATCAATGGCACAGCTACTGGTCCTTTTGTTCTTGGTTCCTTTAGAAATGTCGTAGGAGTAGTGCCCTGTACTGCTGGTGTCATTCCTTATAAACTACAACACAGGACACTGGGTAACATCATTCTTCATGATTTTGCTGGTCATTCAGAATACTACTCC